TGGTTGAAGACCACTAATGTAGCAGTCTTGGATCATTTTGAGGCAGTTGCTTCCCCCAACTATCGCAGTTCGACTACACAAATCTGGTTTCGCCACTCATCTTGTTTGTACATAGCATCCACTGCTCCCGTATCGCCATTTATGAGGAGTTAAGCCCATAGATGAACTGTCTCTCCCAAACACTCATTCTGCAGAAAATGAATATTAGCCATTTTTAATAGATTCGATACCCTTCGAATCTAGTCGCAGCTACTGCAGATGTGAATATGTGATTCCCAAATATTAGCCAAGCCTTAATGTGTGGGTGAAACAGGACACACTTTATTGCAAACCAACATATATTTATACAGCGCAAATGTGGATTCACCCTCCAGGAGGTGATCCACATAACGCAATACAATTCCCTACCCTGCACCACTCTGTCTGGGCTAATAAGAGTTCATAAAGTCAGATTGGGATTTAATGAAATCTCCCACCCACCTAAGGATTACCTAAAGCGGCATTGTTATTATGGGGTTCTGTAAAACAAAACATATCTCAACATATTTTGTGGCAAAATTTCTTTTTTAGAAAGACAATAGAATAGAAAGAGTAAAACACACAGTTATCATAAACTAAAGAAAGTTTTAAAAATAGGTTTTATGCAGTTTACTTACATGTACATTCAGGTGCATTGTCACTCCAAACGCCATCAGCTGTACATTGCAGTTGTGGATTCCCTATTAAAATATATCTGCAAGAGTTAAAGGTTATAATTACTGAGTACTTGAACTGGCCAGTGAAGACTAAATTAGAGACCAACCTTAAATGACCAACCTTAGATCCTACTAGTTTATCTCAAACTTTGCAGTTATAATCTGAAACTGAAATATTTCACTGGATGTAAATGTAACTCCCTCTCTAAACTCATGTGGCATTATTAAACTCTGATTCTTCTTATAGGCCTTAAGGCTCTGTACAAGTCATGTTCTGATTAATGATATCACCAACGTGATATCTCATGGAATATTAGTTGTGTTCACTGATTTTTATGTTAACAAACAGTAGCCTTGTCATTCTGTATTGAATTGACTTAGCATTTTTAATTTTGCTGAATGAGATGTTTTTCTACATAGTTATGCATTTACTTTTGTGCATTAATGTTTGCAACTCAACATTGGTCAAACTGCACTTTTTTTTACTTACTTGTCCTGACCTTGGACCTTGATCTGTTAATCTTGCTTAAAGGGATACTCTGACCGCCAAAATTAATTTAGCAGGTCTAGTACAGACCCATAAAAGATTCTAAGTGTCCCTATTTAGGAAGGGCAGTCTATATTTTGGATCCAAATCCCTTTGTCCCTCTTCTGCAGAAGTAGTAAGTCATCTGCATCTCAGAACACTCCCCTGGACACACCCCAGTCACACCCCTAAAATGAATGTCTCTTTGACCAATGGAAAAGCCCCTGCAGTCTCACTGCTCAATTCACTGCCATTTAAAGCCTACACGAAAAAAATATTTTTCATTCAGGTCTTACAGCACAGTGTGTTTACTTTAAAAGTTTTTAACTTCTGCCATGTTAATTGAACTTTAATCACACACAGGAGACTACAGCAGGCTCTAGCAGGCTGATAAGATAGATCTCTCTTTAGCGGAGTGTCACGTTTAACTTGTCCCTGACTGCTCGATCCCCTGTATGCTATTTAAGTAGCTACTTTATAGTCTTTTTGTTCTCTCACGCATGTACCTCTATGTTTCATAACTACATCAACCTCTAGAAACCTAACTCTCTGTACAGTCATTGCATACATCTCTGCTGTGGATTTCTTGGTTGTCCCAGTGCCAGATGATCATGGAGGATCGACCTTCGGATCTGGTGGCATACTCCATGACAATGCTTGAAACTATGTTAAAGTGCAGAAGACTGCAGTCACTTTGTAAAAAAGTGTTCATTTGCATGGTCGGATTTTCATAAATTTACTATTGTTCTCGGTCCTGCATTCCTTTATTCTCTCTTATCCTGTTATAAGAGATATCTGTTATCTTTTTACAAAGAACTACTTAGTCTAAAGTCCCTGATGTCCATCCATTTTATTGCTTTACCATGATTTCACCTGGACTCCTGAGGGTCCACCTCCAAGCCCGCCCCCAGGGCCCACCTCCAAATCTCACCCCCAGGAATACACACACAGACAAATACATGCACTGATACAAAAAGACACAGATACACACACACACACAAAGATACACACATACTGACACACACACATACATACTAACAGACACACATACACATATAGGCATATATACTGATACACACTAACATACATACATACACACACACACACACGCATAAAGACATACAGACATACACATACATACTGACATACATACATACATACTGACATACATACATACATACTGACATACATACATACATACATACAGACTGACATACAGACATATATACATACGGACATACATACATACTGACTGTGGCGAAAATGACCTCGCCACTGGTTTTTGGAGGGGCCTGTTTGCCAGCCTCCTGCCCTGTGACCAATGGAAAAGATCCTGCAGTCGCACTGCTCAATTCACTGCCATTTAAAGCCAACACAAAAAAAAATGTGCCCTGTGACTATGGCCCTGTGGTGAACTTTGGGCTAAAAACACTGTTCGTGCCTTTTCCCCTGCTATATGACAGTATATGGGGCTTGTCAAACGGATTAGGCATATGGTGTTCAGTTAACGATCAAACTGACGAACAGCCGGACCACCTGCAAGTGAAGTGTGCAGCCTATTAACCTCCCTTAATTGACTCTCTTGAGGAAGAGAGGTTTACCCACTGGAGCCTGGAGCTTTGTCGTAGGTCCAGGGTGGGTAGGAGACGGCGAGTTCCCAGCCAAGCTGTAACACTGGACGTGGGGACTGCGGTACTGATGGTGTCTGGTAGAGTGCTTGGCGTCCTTGGTGAGCACTAGGAGGAGTGGCGTACTAAGGGGGGGCAGAGGGGCGGTCCACCCCGGGTGCCACCAGGGTGGGGGTGCCATGACCCTCATGCTGCAGCCGCCCGAGCGCTCTGCAGAGAGCCTCAGGCCGCTCTAGCTTTGCCCGGGCTGGTGCATCCATGAGGGCGCACCTCCTGGGCGCAGCATGAGGAGAGGGGCTGACAGCGCTCCCTCCTGTCACTCCCTCACTGTAGCGTGGCCGAGCTCTGTATGGTCCGCGGGTACAGGGAGCATCTGTCTCCTGTACCCGGCCGGACTAAAAGGAAGTGCACACTGAGTGTGCACTTCCTTTTAGTCGGGCCGGGTACAGGAAACAAAACTCCCTGCCCGCGGACCATCAAGCTCAATATGGGATCAGTGAAGGGGACAAAAAGAAATAAATTGGGAGGGAGCAGAAAAGAAATTGGGGGGATAAAGAAAGAAATTGGGAGGGGGGAAAGAAATTGGGAAGAGGGGATAAAGAAAGAAATTGGGAGGGGGGAAAGAAAGAAATTGGGGGAGAAGGAAATTGGAGAGGAGGGGTAAGAGAAGGAAATTGGAGGGGGGGGAGAGAAGGAAATTGGAGGGGGGGAGAGAAGGAAATTGAAGGGGGGGAGAGATTGACATTCATCACACACAATGCACCACTTGCACACAGAAAAACACACAATGCATTACACACACAGACACACATACACAAGCAATGCAACCGTTACACACAATGCATCCCACACACACAGAAACACACAATACATTCATTACACACACTCAATGCACCCCTTACACATACTCAATGCATCCCGTACATACACAGAAACACACCTTGCAGCCCTTATATATACAAACACAGATTCATACAATGCATTCCTTACACACATATCAGGACATCCCCTACACACTCCACCCCCTGTGAACAAACTCATTGGTGGAACATGAAGGTGGACCCTGGGACCCAGACCTTGAGCTGTGTAAAGGCCCCCCAAAAAATGGAGCTGCTTCTCGTTCTCCCAGAACATTGATTTTTGTGACCACAGTTACAAACTGCCTCCAGAGAGCCTGTTCTACACCAGACCAGTGGAGCCAGACTGCAGCTAGAGCCCATCATCATCCTCATCTGGTTGTAAGTAGGCAATCTAGTATATTATTCGTGGCACTAAGCTCTAATTTACCTCAAATTAAAGAAATATTATAGTCCTCAGAACCACTGCAGCTTAATGTAGTGGTTCTGGTGTCTATAGCCTGTTCCTGCAGGCCTTTTAATGTAAACACGGCGGCACTACAGCACTGGCGTTAGTTAACATGGCAGATCATATGGGAGGGGCATTGTGATGTCACATGGGGGGGCAGCAAGCTTTACTTTTGCCTAGGGCGGCAAAAATCCTTGCACCTTGCACCGGCCCTGGCTGGAGAGGGCTGTGGCCGCACAGTGCCCCATGGTAGTTAGGGTGCTGTGCGGCCAGTACAGCTCACACAAGCAAACAGCTGATAAACTGGCCGCACGGAGGAAAAGTGGGGTGCAGCTAAGCAAAATCGGGGGCGGCGCCAAACGGCAACGCTCCAAATCTCGCGAGAGTGAACTCTAGCCCGGGAGCTGCGGGCTGGAGTTCACTCTCCACACTGGACCACCAGGGAATCCCACTGGGACCACCAGGGATTGAAATATGTCCCCCCTCCTCCCCAGTAAAGGTAAGAAGGGAGGGGGGACATAGGATATTTATTTTAATTAAATAAATAAAAAATATATTATAAAAAAGCCACACACACACATAAATTGCCCCCAATACTGCCCCCCCATTCACACAAACTGCCCCCCCATTCACACAAACTGCCCCCTATACACACAAACTGCCTCCTATACACACTAACTGCCCCCCCATTCACACAAACTGCCCCTATACACACAAACAAACTGCCCCCCATACACA